GGGATAAACGTACAATGATATGGATATGCGCGGGCCTAAACGGATGTCTATCCATCAACTCGAGCAGCTTTCCAGCGGGACCTATCCCAACAACCACAGTTAGCCACCATCACCACTCACCACCACCAAAAACGATAATAATAATAAAGAAAAAGGAATCTCACCATCATCCGGCACCGGATACGGCGTCGGCCTCAAACAATAAAAGCTATACCTCCCCTGCTCATCTGTCTTGAACTTCCCACGGAGATTAAACTCCTCTTGCTGGGGATCCTGCTGCTCATACAACCCATTCGTACTAGCCTGCCAGACCTCGACCGTCGCGCCGACAAGCGGCTGCTTGGTCTCAAAGTCCACGACTTGGCCGTGCATGAATGCCATTTCGCCCTCGCCATTGGGCGGCGGGGTCAGTACAATGTTCGCTCCGTTCTCGCGGTAGGGTGTGTCGGCGCGGAAGAATGGGCCCAGGATGGCGGTTGCGGTGGGGGCGTCGGGGGCTTCGGAGGCTAGGGTGTAGGTGATTTCGTCTACGAGACTGTTTTTGTAGATTATCTATTAGTATATGTGTGTGTGTTGGGGGAGGGGGTTTGGTGGTGGTAAAGGGTATCGATCATACGACTCCAGTCCGATAACATCACAAACAAGCTGTCCCTCATTCCGCTTATCGTCACTCATTTTACCAGCCCAGTTGAGGAGCTTCACGCCAGCCATCCATTCATCGACGGTGAGTTCGTTCTCGCGCGCGTAGTCGTGAACGTGGCGGATTAGACCGGTCATTAGTTGGCGGAAGCGCGGGGTCGTTTTCGGACCCATGCTGTTGATGACGTTGTCCGTGAAGTTGGGGTCGAAGCGCGGCATTTTGGATACCTTTTTCTTTTATTGTGTTCTTTGATGGGTATGTGTATGAGGGGTGTATGGGGTATAAGGGATGGGAAATTAGCAGAGTTAAACTAAGATGAATGGTGGTTGTTTGGTGGTTTATATAGTAGTAACTAGTTAAGTTACTTGGGTATGATTGTTAATGGATCCCCCGGATTCGCTGTCGCTGGTCGGAAAGCCCTCTTTGGCATTGATCGGATGGACTTTTCCGATGGTCTTCCCCGCACGCTTCGGATGTTACTTTGACTATGTACTATCAATGTTTGGTTCAGGTTATTCCCCACGCCCGGATTCATCAATTGCCTGACGGTTGCATATATGCATGCACTTTTGAGTCTTTATCCCTTTTCATAGCGAACTAAACTATGTAATTAGTCGAATTAAGTGCGATTCCCTCCCGTCGGACCCCCCTTCTTCTTCCCTCCCTTTTGCGCCCATTCCGACGGCCACTCCTGCACCACCTGTCCACGTTCCCAAATCTTGCCCATCTTGCGCTCCACCACCACATCCACAAACTCCAACGGCACTACCTTCTCTCCCCCATCTTCCTTACCCTCACCCCCATCCTTATTTACAGTCAACCCCTCACTAAGAATAACCCCATTCTCACTCCTCCAAAACGGACATCCCGCACTCAACGCCTTCTCCAGATCCACATATATCAACACCTGCGCATCCCTCCGCATCCCCGAAATAACCTGTCCCGGCGCGGCCACCGCATTCCCCGCCAACACATCCTCCACTGCTGGTCCCGTCGCAAAATGTACCTGGTTGCGGCCCATGCAGCGGAGTCCGCCGGAGGAGAAGATGGCTGGCCATGCGGAGTGGAATGTGCCGTGGACGACGGTGCGCGGGAGTTTATCTTTCTCGGAGAGGGAGAGTTTCTCGAGCAGGTGCGCTGCTTCGACGGTCTTGATGCTGTGGCCTTGTGTGGCGCGGATGAGGTAGTGGGAGGGGTTGGGGTCGGTGGTGGTTGCGGCGAGGGCGGTGGTTGTGGTCGTTGTGTCGGTGGATTCTTGTGGTTCGGATTCGGTTTTAATTTCTGTGGTGATGGGTTCTGTAGAAGTAGATGTAGGGGCTGGTTCTGTAGCGGCTGGTGTAGGTTGGGTTGTAGAGGGGGTGTATAGCAGCGCGAATCGCTTCTTATCGGAGTTTGCGACGGCGTCGACGATCTCGGGGAAGGTCACTTTGAGGGATTTGAGTTTGCGCCATGCAAGCTATATACCAGATTCGATGTTAGTTGGGAAGTTATTCTTGGGGTATGACTCTGCTGTGGAGGACGCACCACATCTGATACTTTGGCGTAGCCTTGCGCATCTATCGGTAGGCCTTCTTTTTCGGCGGCGTGACGGAGAAGCAGACTCAGTGCTTTGGAGACCGTGACGGCGCGGCTAGCGGGAAGACGACCCTTAGGCATGATGACTTGCCGAGTGAACAAATCAAGTGTATCTGGGAGATTGGAGATGAGAATGAAGTGGGATGGAAGTGTCAATGAGATGTGCGGAGGGAAGATGGAGGGGCTCGGCGGAACTTTTCCACCTCCGCGGGCCCACTTATGCTCCCCGATATCTACTATCTCATTCACGATCTTATTCACTCTATCACATGAATGATATGCCCTGAATGATGATTCAATATAATATTAATTCTTCCCACCCATCTATCTATAATTATACTCCAGGCATCAGCATAAACTATCAAACACCGCGAAATGGGTATATCACAAAAGCATCCCTCTGAATTAAACAATCCCATTACCTGATCCCATCCTTTTACTCATCCCAAGTAGGATCACCGATCACAAATACAACTACACTCCGCCACCGGACACACCTTATGACGCGCAAACCACTCCCGCGCATGATGCGCATGGAACCCATGGTTGCAATTGATGCAGAACACTATAAACCTCCGCATCAGTTCCGTCTCAGACGGCCGTCGTCCCGCCGCATCTGCCGCCACACAAGCCTTGGACATCGGGTCCGGCGCTCCCAGCCACAGCGTGCATACTCCGCACCGCGGCATATGGCGCCCGCAGCGTGGACACACTGTGCCGGACATGGCGGCGCTGCCGAGGGGATTGCCGGGCGTTGGGTGTGTGACTTCGCCCGTCACCGAGGGGGTCAGTTGTGAGGAAGCGTCGTGCTGCGTGAGCGGTCGTGTGCAGTAGTTGCAGGTGAGACTGACTTGTTGGCGGGGCGGGTCGACCAGTTTGCGCCCGTCCCAGGTGACGGCAAACTTGCGGGAGCCGACGTCGAAGCGTGCGCGCTCGAGTTGCAGTTTCCAGGCGTTGATCTGCTGGCGGTAGGTCTCGCGCCAGGATTCGAAGCGGGCGCGGTCGGGTGAGTTGTTGATGAAGCGGGGGACGGTGTGGCTCATTGCTAGTACGGCCGTTTGGATGTCGTGGAACTTGTTGATGTAGGATTGGAAGAGGTCCATGGCGGCATGGTTGAGTCCGGTCAGCAGGATGCCTTCGATGTCGCCTTGCTGGATGGCTGTGGTGGTGGTTTCGTGGAGATAGCTTGTCAGATCGTCGTCCGGGAGCCAGCGCAGCGCTACCTCGATCCGGTATCTGAGCGGAAGAGTGGTCTCCTGGATGACAGAACGCCAGTCGCCCTTGCTCACGAGCGCGAGAATCGCTCGCGCGTAGGGGTCGGTGAGCTCCTTGGCAATCTCAGCGCAAGTGTCTTCCCAGTCGGAGTCGGTGTCGCCTTTCGCGGCTCCCGCAATGGCCATGGCGAGGAGTTTATGAGCTTGGGTGGGCTCGTGGCTCCGCAGAGCCAGGTACGCGAGTTTCGCTTCGTCTTGGAACATGGCCAGCGCAGCGGCCTTGGTGTGCTGCTTATCAGCGGACAATGTCTTGACTAACTCTTCAAGCTCCCGGTGCGATTGCGCTGCGCCGCAAAGTCGCAGGCACAGCCGGCGATGTTCGGGATACTCGGTCTCGCAGCCTTTCGTCTCGGGGAGGTTGAGCTGATCTTGAACCAGCTCCACGATGGTTTCGTGAATGTCGGATGCCGGGTTGCCACCGACTCGTCGGTTATGGAGACTCTCTCCTGTTGGACTTAGCCATGCACGTACTCCAGGAATCCAGACTACCTACCTAAATCGTTGTTCCAGACATCGTAAACGCCCAGGTAATTCAGATCCAGCCCGTTGATAATCATAGATTCATTGCTAGAGTCGGAGCGTGCACCTACTGCGATTAGTACATCCCGTGATACTCGGTTCCGCACTTACGTTCAGCCCAATCCCAGAAGCCCTGCAGCCATGGGTCATCAGCGAGAATCTTCTTATTCCGTGCCTCGTCAAACAGATAGCCTTCTTTGCAGCGAAACCGGTTCACCGACAACAGAGTCAGAGCATCCTTCACAGGCAGCTGACCGCCCGAGGTCCCCAACGACAAGGCATGTTCCCTCGCCTCACGGCTCGACAAAGGCGTTGCTGGCCGATTGCCGGCCCGGCGTCCTTTCTGCGAAGTCTGCCCATTCGGATCAGACACTGCTCGTTCGCGGACTTCCTCTACCATCTCCGAAATGCTCAATCCGTGACTGGACTGGGGATTGATCGCTCGGAAATCAGAATCCTCATCCGATGTGCCCCAAATCAATGTTCCCTGCGACGAAAGCCGCACCGGTGGCGCTGGAGGCTTCGCGGTGAGAATATTCACCTCATCGTTCCCAGAAATCGTAATGGCGCTGGGCTCATTGCCCGGACTCATATTAAGAAAGTCAAATGCCACAACCCTGTCTTTCTCATCGTACCCCCGAGACGGATGGTTGTACGGCGTAACAACATCTCTGACGTGCTTAGTATAAATCTGCTCGGGGTAATTCCTCGCCGAGCCCTGACCCAAGGTCTCATCCATGGACGAGCGCATCTCCTCGTCCAGATACTCCTTGACAATGTCGTAGGTTTTGAAATGCCCCGTACTGGACAGCACACCCAGACAGCCCCTCTTGGTCCTGGAGAAGCGCAAACTCCAGATGGTCGATTTCGGTGCAATGACGTTCCCAAACTCCAGCGACGGCCCCAGCTGGCTCGTCTCCAGGGCATTTGCCGGTCCAACAGCGGGCGTAATGAAGCGCGACCCAATGCGCCGATCCCAGATACAGATAGTCGGATCATTAGTGGCCTGGCAAGAGGCGATATAGTTCTCATCAAGCCAGTCGATAGCCACATTATGCACACAGCGCGTTGGAAATTGCAGCGACGGGTTTCCAGGTCCCTCTGCTTCAATCAGCATCCACCACCCACCCCACTAGGATATCAAAGAGAGAACAAAAAACTCACCTCTCAAATCATAAATCCTCACAAACTGCCCTTTCACCCCCGTAACCAACGTATCGGGCTGATCACTAAAGAACTTGACACTAGTAATAGGTTCCGAACTGGCCAACTTCCTCAACGGCTCCACAAACCCCTTGACAGCCTTACTCGCCAACCTCTGATTAACATCCCAGATATTCAAACAGAAGTCATTGCGCACCCGGTCTAGCCCCGCAGCCAGCAACCCATGCGTACTAAACGCAACCGCATTACAGTACCGCTGATGTCGAATCGGAAACGAGTACGATTCCTGACTATCGCTCTTCATGCGCAGAATCGTCGCATCCCCAGACGACTGGCCCACCGCGACTAACGATTCATCCACCGGTGACCAATCGAATGCCCGGAACGCGGGCACTTTCGTATGCGTCGCTAGCTCTTCATGCTCCAGACGGCCTCCCCGCTCATATGAGGTTACCTTGCACAGTCGGAAGGCTTTGCCCGTCACGTCCACGGAGAGGAAGCGTTGTTCGCCTGTCGTGGAGGTGGGGGACCACCGAATGGCTTTTTCCATTTTATTTATTTTTTCTCTGAAATTTCCTTTTTCGGGTGAGAGGGAAACTTATGGTGTGGGTTTGTGATCTGTCCGCTTTTGTGTTTGGTTTGTTGTGTGTGCCCACTTCTTTCACACTCACACACACTTACGCCGCCGTCGCCCCTGGATTCTGGACTGGGGACTGGGGCTGGGCTAGGCTGGGCTGGGCTGGGAGGGCTTCGTCGCAGATGCGACTGGACCGGTCACCAACTGAGATGTGATTTCAGCCGCGCG